TGTATGAAGCCTGACACTCTAAATTATCCTTTCAGTGAGAGTCATAATAATTCTTTTAATTTAGCATATCTTAAATTTTTGACTAAGTTATACTGTAACAAATTGTTTGTAAGGCTTACTCACTCAGTATTTTTTTAGTAAAGTTCAAGTCAACTGTGTAAATTTATTAATAATTGTATTATAGCATATAAGTTTGATTAGTATATTCTTGTAAAAGTAAGAATCACTTCTGAAATAGCACTATTTTTGCAGAAGGAAATGTAACTTTTTAAGTAGCACTGTTTTTATTGAAAGAAAGAAAACTGTAGCATTGTTCTTACACATTGAATTATAAGTATTTCATCATTAAATATAGCTCAGGCTGAATAATTAGAAACTTAAGTACGAAGCCTATTATGAATAATAATTTAGAAGGACAGTGGGAGGGACAGCAGCATCCTCATATGCTCGATATTTAAAGTCTGTGGGAGAAGTAATGTGCTTTGGATGTGACAGCCTTAAAATAGAGCCTGACAGTGTGGTCAGGCTTCAAAATTGTTTTAATATAACTCATCCTCTATAGTAATATTTTTACAGAAAGAAAGGTAACTTCATAAATATCGTTATTCTTATAGAAGGAAATATAATTTCTGAAATAACTTTTTTTCAAAAGGAAAGGTAATTTTAGATAACAGTACTAATAAAATTATAATTTGGAAAGGTGGAATGCTTAAGTTTGTGTTAGATTATTTAAGGCTAGGATGCATAATTCATAGATGTTATGTCAATTTGTAAAATAATTAATTAAATTTTCTTATTAAAGAGTGTATAAAAGTGGCAAAACTGTCAATGGTGTATGTTTTAGTTTAAAAATGAATTGTGGATACCACAAAATTTAAGAGCAATAATGTTCTGGTTAGATGTCCACAGAACGATAGCACATCCTATATATATATATATCTGAGAGAGGCCAGAGTACTGCATATTAAAGTAATTTTGAATATGCAAATCCGTAAGTCACATGATAGCCCCAGCCAATATAAAGTAGTGGTGGAGTAAAATGTATCAGAACTACATTTAACGTTGTTTAGCATCTTTCCGGGTAGTTTGATGCCACCAAAAATGTATCATTTGTGAGAAGGGTATGTGTCAGGTCATTCTGACATAACATATCCATACACTAAGATTGTAAAGATGTATTCAGATCAGTGATTTAAAATTTATAAGATGAATACATCAATTGTATTTAATGGCATTGGAAAACAAAGGAATTTGGATCTACTTGGGGCATAATGGCCTACTGGAATGAGACCTGCAACTAGAACCCCAACTGTGGTAAGCTTGTGTGACATCTTGTAACAGGTGAGAATCCACAAATAGAGAGGTCAGTGGCAAAAACTGTCTACTTGCCCAAGGCAACAGTAATCAAGAAGGATCTCTGTTTGAACTAGCAACACAAGTTGTGTACTCAAGTTGCTTCCATGACATATCTGTTAAATTTTCAGATTCAAAAGTAGTTTGAGAATGAAGCAGATATTCATTCATGTATTACTTATGAATATATATCAGTCAAGTCCATGGATGTCTTTCTTTGCAATTGGCACCTGAACGAATCTTGTGATAATGAACAATTACATAAACACATATAAACTTGCATCTTATTTAATGTGTTGCAAGTTCTGGCTAAATGTATACAGACAATATCACAGACTATGTGTGACCTCTCATACTATTTGACATGTTTTAATTTACTGGTATATTTAAGGTGACCTTGCTAAAATGACTCTGGCCAATGGTCAGGCTTGAAAAGGGCTTACAAAAGATGACAAATTTAAGGTTAACAGTTTTTAAAAACAGAAAACTAACTTAAGAAAAGTTAGCAAAGAATTGGGGGGAAATGTAGAGGTAAGAGAAAGTTTTATATATCAATGGTGTGATTTGTGTTGGAGTATTTAAAGTTAGAGTAAAGAAAGTGACTATGATAATTATGTGATTTCTACTGAGTCAATGACTACAATGTGATAAATGATTGAACCAGAACAACTTTTGATGGAGTTGAATAAAACTATAGTTGTGAAAGGTTACGTGCTTAGGCTTTTGTTGAAGTTACTTGTTTTTTGTATTAACTATGTTAATTATGTGATTTTTATGAGTTAATGAACACACTGGTTAAACCAACTGACTCAACATAATATATGTTAGTATTGAACCACACAGAAAAGGTTCCACATCTCTTCGTAGGAATTATAGGGCTGTGGATGCAAAGCTAAATCCAAGGTGTAGTGGCTAGGGCATGGGGACTGCAATATGACATAATGGTATAATAGGAATATGATATGAAGGGAACCCAACCTGAAAATTACAGAAAGTTGTATGTCAAACCACCAAAATTACAAAGAGAAGAAAAGCAACACAGAAGTGGACAAACCCTCACTCCAACCTGAAAAAGCACAAAATGCAACAAACTAAATTCAGAATTACAGGCCCAGGCACCCAACCTGAAAGTTACAGTATTGTTACCATTGCCTTTGATAAACTTCCAAATAAGAATGTTGAATGGAATGTGTTAATAAGGACACTACTCAAGATGTCAATCCCTGATGAAGTGTGATGGACTGCATAAAAGTCAGGCGTGAAGTTGATGAACGTTAACTGCTGGATGAAATATGTCCGACCGAGGCCGATGTAAGAGGGATGGCCAGGGAGGAAGAGCTTGACTCTTCTGAAGAGGAGTGGTAACCAGGGCTGACCCAGTCAATGTGGTGCCACCAGAAGAACTTGACAGGAAATGGAGTGAATCAGTGCCAGAACATTGGAGGACAGATGAGTCAGAAGGAATGCATAAAGATGAAGACTCGCCCAATCCTGGGTGAGAGCATCTACTTCCAAAGTCAGAGGGTGAGGTACTGGAGACCAGAAGGATGGGAGCTGAGCATTCCAGTGTGTGACAAAAGCATCAATCTGTGGTGTCCCTAGAGCAGAGAAGATCCAATGAAAAACTTGAGGATGAAGTATCCATTCCATAGGAAGAGCTCTGTTGGGTGTAAAACTGGTCGACCACTAGAGTCATTACCCCTGGAACATGAGAAGCAAGAAGAACAATCTGGTGGTTGTGTGCCTAAAAGAGAAGATCCACTGGTTGAAAACAAAGATACCTGGAGTGAGTGCCCCCTTGCTTTGAAATGTACGAGACTACTGTGGAATTGCCCAAATGAAGCAATATAACCTTCCCTCTCAACAATGAGACCCTGAGTCATAGTCCATTGAACTACTAAAAGTTCTAACAGATTGATGTGGAGAGAAGCTTTCTCTACTGTCCAAAGTCCGTTGAATATCATATTTTCCATACAAGCACCACAGCCCTGAAGAGAAGCATCTGTGAACAGACATAACCTTGGCCATGGAGATAGTAGAGGTACACCTACTGTTGTGTTGTCCTTATCCAACCATCAGCAGAGATCCAGCAAACTGGAATCTGACAGTCTCACTGGACAATGCAGCACATTTGTGCAAATATTCTACTGGTCCTGTAACAACCATTGAAGGGCCCTCATGTGGGACCAACTTAAAAGAATGAGTGATTCCAAGGTTGCCCACATCACCTAAAGAGATAGAACTGTGCATGCTGGTGGTGAAGGAGACAACTGTATTTGAAGAAATGCCCTTCCCATGGCCTGAAGGTTTAGGGGAGAAGGTTGGGCCTGGCTTAGTCTAGAAGTGAAAAATGATGAGGTACGGTGTGGAAGTAAGAACAGACTAACCCCTCCTCTTTTTTTGTTAAGAAGCCCAGCCCTCTCAGCCTCTGATAAAAGAGGTTGAATGTACAGTTCTATGAAATGATAGGAAGGGGCGAGAAGAAGCCAATTGTCCATGTAATTGTGAGTGTGTATACTGAGGGAGTGAAGATGACTTTAAAAAAGCTCTGACTATCTAGCAAAAATGTATGGAGTAGATGGGAGGCCAAATGGTAAAGCACAAAACTGAAAAAGCTGGTTGTGGTGCACAAGACTGAGATAACGCCTTGAAGGTTCGATAATCGGGATCTAAAGGTAGGCCTCTGCAACATCAAATTATGCCATCCATAGTCCGGGTGAAAAGAGACACCAAAGAGAAAGAACGACTCCATTGTAAACCAAGGAGGCTGGAGGAAGCAAGTGGGATGAGAAAAATCTATAACCGGTCACCAATTGCCCATCTTTTTAGGTACTACAAACAGCTAAGAATAAAAAAAACCCGAGAGAAGAGGTGACTTGCTCCATGGCCTCTTGGTATAGAAAATCATGGATGGCTTGTGCTCGATGGTTGGACGTAATAGGGTCATTGGGGAGTGTAAAGCCAAACAATATGAGAGGCAGTGGAGGAGATGTGAACTGAATGACCAATCCACTCCTGAGTACTTGAATGATCCACTGATCTGTGGTAAATATCTTCCATACTGACACGAACCTTCTGAGATGAGGTAGTCATCGACGATGAAATCTTTTCAAATAAATAGTTATGTTCAATAATAACTATTCATAGGGAAAGAAAAGTATTGGTAAGTTCAATATTACCAATATTTCTGCAATCTTATATATATATTGCGAACTGTGGTGTCTGTCTGAGTGTTCACCTGTCTCCCATTTATGTCAGCCGCTTCCCACACTGCATTTGAAAAACTATGCACACAGGCAAAGCTCAACATTCACTTTTGAAATGACAGGCATAAATAATGTTGATGCCAAATTTGATTTCTAACCCGTAGTTAGAACAATGTCAGTAAGAACCTGACTTACTTGTTGTTAGAACAATACTGATGATGAATATGACTTACTTGTAGTTAGAATAATGTCAGTGTGAGTCTGACTTACCTCTTGTTGCTGCATGTGAATGTGGTTTACATGTTGCTAGAACAATGTGAATATGAGTCTGACTTGTATGCCATTAAAATAGTGCTGATGAAAATCTAGGTTCATTGTTATCAGAACAGTGCTGAGTTCATACCTGTTGTTGGAAAGGTGCTGAGTGTTAATGCAACTTACCAGTTGTTAGAACAGTACTTGCAGCAGCCAATTCTTGGTAGACATGATAATTTGGTAGTAAGTAGGTTACAGACAAATCATCCTGGCCACAACGAATGTCTGCCTCTTCACACAAAAGAACAAAGCAGGACATTGTCACAAGAACAGCATCTATTTCAATACTCCATAAGTACATGAAGAAAACCACCTACATAAAAAATAGTACTGTTGTATTAAAAAATCTATATAAAATCCATCTTAATAATTATCTACTGATCCATCCTGACAATAATATCTGTCATGTGAAGACTTAATTTAAATAGCATAAAGAATTAAGTGTTATTGGTAATAAATCCTCGTACTTTCCCAAACACTATGATATTTAAATGTACTTTCTTTTATATTTTTAACATTGATTTATTACTTATTATCTTAAAAACTAAAACTAACCTCTAGCTTTATGTGTGCCTGTCTAGAGACGGCTACATGACTACCCAAATTGGCATAATCTTTATTCCTTAACAGGAAAGCATTTCGACACTTCAAAATCTCCCGTAACCACTTCAGAATCTCAGAGTAGTTGTATATCTGATGTTGAATGAGTTTCTGAGATATGGAGAACAGAACCTGGGAGCTAGGGAAACATAACATAAAAAACAAAAAACTATTTAGTAGTAATCAGTACCATTATATAATGTTTTGTTAATGTCAGAGAAAAAAAAATCAGACAGTCTACAAACATCTGTTCAACACAGTCAGTATATTTGTTTCATTTCTGCAACTTTTCAAGAAATTACTATTGAAAAAACACTGTTGGTGAAGGTTATAAAGCTATACACATTA